AGGATAAATCGAGAACCTCCGAGATCTGGCGGATCTGGAGCATGTCTCGGGCGCCGTGGCCTTCTCAGAGCGTTCCAGAACGCCCCGAGAGCGTTCCAGAACGCTCCAGAACGGACTTTTCCTCGTCTTAGCCCCGTCCGATTGCAGACCTCCGCGTGTTCGTACACGTCGCTCATTTCTAATCGTGCTCATTTCTAAATGTGCTCGTTTCGAACTGTTCCTGGCCCCCCCGTGGCCAGGAAGAGGCCCAGGATAGAACACGTAGAAACGAAAGGAGCTTGGCCCCCCCAAAAACCAGAGAACTTTCGAAGAACTGGAAGCGAACCGCCTGTCTGTTTCTTCCTCGTTCTGCTGTGCCCTAGTGGGCCGTGCAGGGTCTCCAGGCGCTGGCTCATCTTGTCGAGGGCCGGCCCGATGTCGGGCTCGCCCCTGCCGCGCGCCTCCGATGGGGTGCAGTGGGGGGGGGGACTGAGCTCCGTCGTTACAGTCAGGCCGGGCGAAAGGGGGGGGGGTTGAGAATCAGCTCACGTAGCTGATTTTCCCGGCGCCTCCCGGCGCCAGAGGCGGCCATGTACCGAGGAATTGGCCCGGCGGCGGGGCCGAAACCAGCTGCATGCAGGAGATTTCGTAACTCCCCCCTTCCCTATCCCCCCTTTCGTTCGGCCCGATACACGAACAGCGCCACGCTTTCCTCAAGCTTCCCTGGGAGATCTCTGGATCTGCTTCGACCTATCTGGATTTGCCTCGATTTGTCTGGCCTGGTCCCCGCAAGTCGATTGGCGATACATCGTCAATTCCTCAGGGAATCAGGCGTGGCAAACATTGACGTGAAATCGCCGATGCATCACCGACAGATCGGACCCATCTGCTCAGACCCCACTTGGGTAGAGGAAGAACAAACAGTATCAACGCAAACTTCCGAGGCTCCGCGCGGATTTCGTGGATCGGCGCTGGACCCCCCTGCCTGGCGGCGCTGGAGGCGTCGCCAGGGGGGCCCCAGCGCCGATCCAAGAAATCCGCGCGGAGCGCCATAAGTTTGTGTTTATGCATTTGGGTATTCCTCGATTCGGCGGCGAGCCCGAGTGGAAGTGAGAGGGGGCGGGCCTTATCAGAAGGCTCGGGAGACCTCCGGCCTTCTGAGACATTTTCTGAGCCTCCTCCCAAGGCCAGAGACGACTTCTCAGCAGGACGGGAGGGGCTTCCGAGAAGCCCCAACGCCTCCTGACATGAGCCCAAGGACACACAAGTAAATATACACACAGATAACCGGATTCCCAACATTTTTCTATATTTGTTGGATCTTCGTCTTCCCCCCCCACTTCCCATGCTTCCGCATCTTTTCTAGGGAGTCGCCAATTCATTGTGTCTGTTTTTTCCCCTCCTGATAACATCGGCTATACGCAAGAGTGACCCTGGGTAAGAGTGACCTTTGGTGCGCGGCTTTTGGGAGGCCGCGGGAAGGCCAAATCCAGGCGCGCTAGCCGCTGCTCCTGCTTCGTTTTCAGCCATCTGGGGACCCGCCTGTGCCCGCACCAAAGGTCACTCCGGCGAAAGGTCACTCTTTCGTCCAGTCGAACAAGGCCTGCCCCCTCCTGCTCGCCCCCCCGGGCTCGCCGCCGATCGATTGGGAGGCCTGGGCTGCCGTTGCTCCCGAGCTGGCGGGACGAGCTGGTGAGACAACGGCAGCTCAACATCGGTCCCCGGATGGGGGAGCAGGGGTGAGGTTGATGAGGGAGGAGGAGGAGGAGGAGGAGGAGGAGGAGGAGGAGGAGGAGGAGGAGGAGGAGGAGGAGCGAGGAGGAGGAGGAGGAGGAGGGAGGGAGGGAGGGAGGGAGGGAGGGAGGGAGGGGGAGGGAGGAGGGAGGGAGGGAGGAGGGAGGAGGAGGAGGAGGGAGGAGGAGGAGGAGGGGGAGGAGGGAGGAGGGAGGAGGCGAGGAGGGAGAGGGAGGAGGGAGAAAGGAGGAGGGGGAGGAGGGAGGGAGGAGGGAGGAGGGAGGAGGAGGAGGGAGGAGGGAGGGAGGGAGGAGGGAGGAGGGAGGGAGGAGGAGGGGAGGGAGGAGGAGGAGGGAGGAGGGAGGAGGGAGGGGGAGGAGGAGGAGGAGGAGGAGGGAGGGAGGAGGAAGGAGGAGGAGGAGGAGGAGGAGCAGGAGGAGGAGGAGGAGGAGGCGGAGGAGGAGGAGGAAGGAGGAGGAGGAAGGAATAGGAGGAGGAGGAGGGAGGAGGAGAGAGGAGGAGGAGGAGAGGAGAACGAGAAGGAGGAGAGGGATGAGGAGGATGAGGAGGATGAGGAGGAGCAGGAGGAGGAGGAGGAGGAGGAGGAGGAGGAGGAGGAGGAGGAGCAGGAGGAGGACGAGGAGGAGGAGGAGGAGGACGAGGAGGAGGAGCGCCATGACTGGACCGCAAACGTAAAACTTCGTCGGAGCTCTGGGCCTGCTGTTTCCCCTCTGGCTTCTGGGCCGCAACTCGGGTTTCTGGCGGCTGTTCGGAAAGATCCGGACACCCCTGGAGCGCTCTCGCCGACGCGCCGCTGCTGGAGAGAGCACCCCGAGGCCGGAACCCCGCGGAGCACCGTGGCCAGCGCCCGACAAACACCTCCGACCTCGAGCCCGAGCTTTTGGCGTCGTTGCCCCCCCGAGGCCGCCTCGACCTCCCGCCGCACCTGGTGGGCTTGTTTGCCACCGCCACCACCACCACAAGTAGGAGGTGGAGGGGGTCCTCCCTCCTCCTCCTTCTCCTCCTCCCCCTCCTCCTCCTCCTCCTCCTCCTCCTCCTCCTCCTCCATCTCCTCTTCCTCCTCCTCCTCCTCCTCCTGACTTCCGCCGCTCTGTTTCTGTTCGATCCGCGGCCCCAGAAGTCCCGACCGCTTCCACGGGCGTAGCTCTTCGTCCCTGGGTCCACTTTCTTTTGTTGCTCCAAGGGCCCGACAGCGGCCCCGAGGCCCGAAGTGGAGGAGGAGGCGGAGGTGGAGGGGGTCCTCCTCCTCCTCCTCCTCCTCCTCCTCCTCCTCCTCCTCCTCCTCCTCCTCTTACTCCTCCTCCACCTCCTTCCCCCCTCCAACTAATGGTGGTGGTGATGGTGGTGGTGGTGGTGGAAAACAAGCCCACGAGCACCTCCTCCAGCCGGCGCTCCATGGCGCCGCAGGCCTCGACGGCGGTCACGGACACGGTGTGCCCGAAGTGCCAGAGGTCCGCGAGGCGCGCCTCGTGCTGGCCGCTCGTGGCGGCGAGCGCCCGCACCTCCTCGGGAGGGCCCAACCCTGGAACCCCAGCCCGCGGTGGACGAGGAGGATGAGGACGAGGAATCGCGAGTCGCGAACTGCGGAACACTTCGCGACCTAGTGGCGGCCCTCGCATCCCATGCCAGGTCGGAAGAGCCCTCGGAGGGCCGCCTGCGTGCCAGGCCGAGAGAAGGCCGCCTGCGGGCCAGAGGGCGACCTGACGACGCCCGCCCAACACTAGCGTGCGCTGTGCGTGGCGCCTGGAGGCGTCGCTTGCACTGATGCGCATCGCTCACGGTGGGGGCCCGACCACAAGAAACCTTCCGCACAGAAACCCCACCCTGGAACCCCAGGACGTCCACTGATGTTTGGTATGGGGACGTCACACGCTTCCGTGGCAAGACCGTCGAAGCCCAAGAAACCCGGGACACACCTGGAGGCAACGCGGGGTGCTTCTTGGCACCGACACCACAAGAAGTAGGAGGGGGAGGGGGTCCTCCTCCTCCTCCGCCTCCTCCTCCTCTTCCTCCTCCTCTTCTTCCTCCTCCTCCTCCTCCTCCTCTTTCCCCCTCCAACTTATGGTGGTGGTGGCGGCGGAAAACGGGCCTATCATTGCTCGGCGCATCGCCGCGGCGGCCCCGGCGACACGCCGTGCTCTTCGAGCGGACGGCGTGTCGCTCCGTCCCGCGGGGCGGGGGGTCGGGGACGAGCTCGAGACGCCGACGCTTTCGGGGCTGGGGCGTTGATGGGCCTGTTTTCCACCACCACCCCCATCAGTTGGAGGGGGGAAGGAGGTGGAGGACGAAGAGGAGGAGGAGGAGGAGGAGGAGGAGGAGGAGGAGGAGGAGGTGGAGGAGGATCCCCTCCCCCTCCAACTCATGGTGGTGGTGGTGGTGGTGGTGGAAAACAAGCCCATCAGGCGTAAAACGCGCGTCGCGCTGGGGCGTGGTGGGCAGGAAGCGGCGGAGCGGCACGCTGTCCAGAAGCTCCCGACCGTACGGTCGGACCCAGGACAGAAGAACATCCTTCAAGAATATGCGTAGAGGCCTCCTAGATGGGGCCGGAGTAGGTGGAGTCGGAGGATCGCGCCGCATCGGCGATACATCGGCCATGCATCGGCGATGCATCGGCAATGCATTGGCGATGCACTGCGGGCCAACAGTGCGGCACGCCACACTGGGAGGCGAGGGCGCTTCCGCACGACCTTACGTGGGCAAATTGCGCGCGAATGTCGGCACAATCGAACCCGTTGTTCTGCGTCGCTCACCCAGGCATCGGCGATGCGTCGCCGATGGATCGGCGATGAGCCCCCGATGGCGAATCCGCACGCTCCTGGGCGGGGTGGGGCTATCAGGACGCTACCCTTAGGTCGGGCGTGACCCCCTACAGGCGGATTTGGGAGGAATTTTAAAAATACATAACACATGCTCAGAAGTGGCAAAACAATACTCGAAGAATCGTCTCCATACTATTTTTGGACTATTCTTGAACCTTCCTCCTGCAGAGGGACATGACGGACTTAACTCTACCGGCGATCACTGTGAGTCGATGCATCCCTCCCCGAGAGCTTTCGCCACCCCTTAACGTTGCCCCTTCTGGCGGCCACGCACAGGAGTGACCTCAAGTACGCGGCTCCCCTGAGATCCGGGCGTTGCACTGAGTCGGGCATGTCCCTCTACAGGAGAAATACTCCAGAATAGTCCAAGAACAATCGAGGGACGAATTTTTGGGTGTCTTCTTCTGACCGTTTTAGAACTTGTCTAAACTATTTCTCATTTTTCGCCCAAAATCCCTCTGCAAGGGGATATGCCCGACCTAAGCATTGCACTTGTTGTTCGCACCGGGCGTTTTCTCGCGCGGCTTTCTTTCGGCCCCCCCCCACCGGGGCCATCATGGATCGATCGCTCAGGCTCGAGACATGTTGCAGAGATTGGGCGTGGCGTCCTGGGGGGGGGGACGAAGGAACGACATGAACCTTGCGGTGCCCCTTTCGGGCTCCTCAGGTGAGCGTTTATTTATTCTGGGTTTCGTCATTTGGCGCAAGGGGGGGAGGGGGGGGGGGGGTCCGGCTCTCGTCCCGTAGTCAATACCTCCGATTGAATCATCTTGAAATTTTCAACATAGCTTAAAACTCAACATTTGAGCCTCATGAGGCGTGAAACTGGTAAACAAACTCATTCTAACAATTACAATACAACGCAAATATTTATGAAACTTATCGATAGTTTAAACTGTATTATGATATATTGTGATAGCAGGGGAGGCATAACAAGGGAGGGCCCAACCGGAGGCATGCTTTTTGGCGATCGGGTCCGGCGCCCCTGAGCCCTTTCGTTATGGTTCCAGAAGAATAGCAGGAAAAAGTTCGCACAGTTGCACACATCAACGATTCGAGTTTCTACGGGGGGGGGGGGGGGGCGCCGGCCCCCGTAGTTCGTCCGATCGACTGAAGCAGGTGCCAAAATCAGCCCATAACTTCTCTACGGGGGAGGGGGGGGCGGGGGGTTCCGCCGAAAGCAAAAAAAATAATAATAAAAGAACGATCACCAGGGCACAGGGGCCCACCATTCTTCACCCCCCCCCTCCACTCACCCAGACCTCCGACGTCATGCTGTTTTTTCGTGACGTCGGCCTCCATCGGGGAGCTACTGACCCAGGTCAATCCAGACCTGGGTCAATCAGGCATTGCAGGATCCTGCAAGATCCTGCAGGACCACGCCCGGGTCGGTGCACTCTGGCCCTGCAGGATCCTCCAAACCCCGACGCGCTCGAACTGACCCCCGTTTGCATTGACCCCTCGTCTCTTGTGAGCGTTTTTGTATTCGGCGTTTCGACAATGGGCGGAAAGAGAGGGTGGAGGGGGGGGTGTCTGGCTCCAGACCTCTGCTGAGTGCGACTGTTTGCAAAAGGGCTGCATCTGGGGGACCGGGGGAGACGTCACTCGCTCGACACAGACGCCACAAAAAAACAGCAAAGATCCACTCCATGGGGGGGGGCGGGGGTTGGGGGCCCGCGCCGATCGGCAAAGTAATGATTAACAAAACGATCACTTTGAGCCCCGACTCCAGGTCTCGACCCGCTCCCCGGGACCATTTCTAGTTTTGTTTGTTATCTTTTTTCCTCCGGAGCAGTTTCCTGTGCCAGAGTCCCGGGGCCGGGCGAGGGCCCCCACGCGGGCCGAGATCGCAGGGACAGACACTTCCCGTCGTGCTTCTTGTTTTCGCGACCCGAGGGGGTCTGGGCGCATCGCCCCTCATGACCAGGAGGCCTCCCAGATGGGGTCCGAGTAGATTTCGGGCGGGCATGTTCCCCCCACAGGCGGATGGTGGACGAGAAAGAAAATGTCAGAAAGTACCCCAAGATGATGAACCATAGTAGAAATATCGTTCCAAGTTCACTTTGCACCGCTCGTCGCCCGCCAAGAATCGATGGGTCGGAAGATTGCCTCGCATCGCCAATGCAACCCATCGGTGACGCCGACGATGCATCGGCGACGTCGGCGTGGAGAACATTGGGCTCCACATCGGGCCGCATCGCGGATGCGTCGGCGATGCGGCGCGATCCTCCGACCCCATCTACTCGGACCCTACTTGGGAGGCGTGGAGTGGTTTTCTGGGCATAACTCGGGTTCCAGCTGTCCGTTCGGGAAGATTCCTGCAGATTCGGCACCCCTAGAACCAACCCTCTCGACGAGGCGCACCTACTGGAGAGCACCCCGAGGCTGGAAAACCTCTGAGAACAAGCGAGCACCTCCCCACACTTATGAAAACCACGCCCCATCTGGGAGGCCCAGGCCGTGGGCCCGCACCCCAAGGCCACCCCAGCGAAGGGACACAGTGGCCCTGGGATCTTGGCGTTGCAATTTTTCCACACTGGGCATTTTCGCCTGGTTTCGGGCCCGGGGGCCCCCACTTTGTTGTCATCGACGTGCTGAGGGTCTGCCAGTTCATCGGACCCCAACGGAACTCCATCGGATCCGATCTCCTCCTCCGCAAACGAAGCAGCCTCCGCAAGGAGGCGGTCCCGGACCGCCAGAATCGCAGGCGTGCTCAGAGGAGCGGAGGAGGAAGAAGGCGGGAAAAGGGGCCTGAGGTGCACACGATGCACCAGCCACACTGGGGGCTGCTCTGACGCAGAACGATGTGGTCTAGGCATCGAGTCGTTTGTGGGTGTTGTGTGTGTGTGTGTGTGTTTTCTCTTTCTTCGCGGTGCTGTGTGTGTCTGTGTGTGTTGTGGTATTCTTCGCGCTTTTTTCGTTTTTATTCTCCTGCAACGTCAGATCC